GGGCTGGGGCTGCCCGATGGGTCCGTCCACATGTCCCTGCTGCTGGCCCACGCATGAGGGCCCCTCCATCTGGGAGGGGGAGCGTCACTCCCTCAGCAGCCCCTGATGCTTCTGCTGGAGGGGCAGACGGCGGGGCGGGGGGGGGGGGGGCTGGTAGGGCGGTGGAAAAATCAGGTCCTCCGTGGGAATGCCCTGAAGGACTGGGGAAAACGGAGTCTTTGGTTCGGACTCTGTTTTCTTGTCAGACTTAGGAGTTGGGTTCCGCAGGGCTAGGATCTCAGATGTAGGTCCTGCTTTGGGAGGGAGAAAAGGTTTAAGCCAGGAGGGAGGATTCTCGATCATGTCCTACCAGACCAGGATATAAGGTACTTGGTCAGGGTGGCTGTGTGGTTTTTCTCTGAAGACGACGGCCTTAACCTCTAAGATAATGGGCAGTTGAAAAGTTCCCTCCTGGGGCCGTCCAACATTAAAAGCTGGCCACTCAGACATGCAGAAAGTCTGGAACTTTCCCTTTCGTACGTCTGTGCTCGGGTTATGAGCTCTCTCCCTGACATCTGAGAAGTGGTCAATCATCAGAGACAGAGGGGTCTTCTGTGTCTGTCCCATCACGCCCTCAGTCCACAGCCAGACAAATACACTTACGACAGTTAACAAGAACACACTCATACAGACAAACGATCCGGCGTGGCCGCGAAGACAAAACTGAAAGTAAGTTAAGGGAGGATCTGACCGCAATGGCAGCCGATTCTCCCCACAGATGAGGACTTCGTCCTCCAGGTGGGGGCGAGGGACGTCTCCCAAGACCCCCGGTTGACGGCCCGCCAGCGCGTCTGCTGAAGCCAATGTCGACCCAGATACTGCTTGGAATTCCTACAGGTAAAAATGCAGATTGGAGCTCCCAGAAAGTATGCGCGCAAACAGGAAAACGAGTGCACTCACCAGCCGGCGCAGGACCCTCCGGGTCGGGGTCCTGGGGGTCTCTCAAATCTCGGTGGGACCTCCAAATGTTGTGCCCAGGTTTTCGTGCCCGAGAGACCACCAAGGAGCCAACACCGATGCAATCACACGAGGGTTTATTCGTCAAGCTTAAGCTTGGGCCCAAGTATACCCAATATAGTGGGATAGAGACTTGGACCCTGAACCAGATTACAGTCAGAGTTTTTAGAGGCAGAGTAGGGGTGGACTTGGCGGTTGGTGAGGACATAGGGGATTAGGGATGATGTCAGTCTTTAAGGAATTTTGGAAGCAAGGTCTCCAGGACCTTGAGGGGCTAGCTATTGTTGGGAGAAAGGTTATTTATTACCAGTAATAAAAATCTCGTGAGACCCCTTAGATGTCTATCAGTGGGTCATATGCTTGGGAATGATTGTTGACACTATCTTGGAGGTTTAGAGATAAAGTTTCCTAAAGGAATTGTTAAAGTAGACTTACAGGATCCTGGTTGGGCCTGTTGGAGTAGGGGGTCGGTCAGGCCAGGATTGTCCTTAGCAAAACCTCAAGGTGAGGGCAGTTGAGTCCCCAGGGGAGAGCCACTCTGTCTGTTTCAAGGGCTTGTCAGTAGGTAAGGAATTTTAATGATTTTCTTCTGCCTCTGTTTCCCACATCACTGCCAGCCCTGGCATCAGGGATTTGGCTGGGAGTGTCACCCAGGTGGCCTCTGGAAAAGCTTGAGGAACAAAGAGGCAGAAACAGTAGATGGTCCTTGGGCCCAATTCATAGAGGCAGCAGGAGAGGCCCAGTGAGGAAAGGTGACGTGGCCAAGGTCATGCTTGCTGGGACCTGAACCCAAGCCCCAGGCTTCCCACTGTACTGCTCCACAACAGGAAGGGCCCAGGGCTCCCACCTCAGCCCCAGTGGTGGCCACATGCTGTGAGAGCCATGTGTCCCTAGGCCACGGTCTCACCTCGGCCCTTGACCTTAGTCTGGGAGGCCCGGGCCCTTATGGGCATCTGGGCTTGATGAGGCTGTAGGAAGTTTGGAGGCTTGTTCATTTGACAAGCCTGCTGTTTTCCTGTGGGCCTTTAGTGTAACCCAGAGGGCTGGGAGAACCCGGGGGTCGAGCCAGGGGCATTTGGCTCCTAAGAACAACTGGAAGTTAAGAGGAAATGCTCATACCTTTAACCACCACTACCATCACCATCACCAACAGCAGCAGCAGCAGCTCGTAGATGAAGTGTGGCACGGTGTTAAGAGCACAGATGCCAAAGTGCTCTGCCTGAGTTTGAATCCTGGCCATGCCATTTCCAGCTGTGTGGCCTTGGACAGGTTACTTAACCTCTCTGGGCCTCAGCATCATTATCTATAAAATGGAGATAATAAGTGAACCTATCTCCAGGTTGTCGTAATGATTACACAAGATGGTATACGAGGTCCTTAGCACCGTGCCTGGCTGGCAGTAGGTCCCACACAACTATTAGCTATTGTTATATGTCACGCATAGAGTCGATGCCTTCACTGTATGGCCCCACGGTGTCCGCATGGTGATTCCGTGATGCCCAAACTCTTCTCCTAGTTTGTTGTATGATTAATTCATTCTCATTTTTCAGGTCTCAGTTTTAATGGTCATTTCCTGCCTTTCCTGTTCTATCCACAACAAGTGTCCCAGTTCTCCTCTTTAAGACTCCCTGTATGTGTGCTTTCCTTAGTAGTTTTCACCATTTTTGATTATGTTGTTTGTCTATACACTTATTTGTCGAGTGCTGATCTCCCCATCAGCTCCAAGAGATGTCTGTCTTGCTCACCTTGGTATCCCCAGTTCCTAGGTCAGGGCCTACACCTCGCGGGTGTCCTATAGACATGCGGGAGAAAGGGTAAGCGTGCCTGCATAGCTAGAAGGCCCCAAAGAGATGGGGCCTCTAGAGAACTCCGCTGATGTCTGACATAGAATAGAACAGAAGGGACGATGGCACAGAGAAGTTGAGACTCTTGTTTGGGTCACACAGCTAGAAATACAGAGCTGGTTTCTAACTTTGGTCCCTGACTGGCCCCCTAAGCCCAGAGCCGAGGTGAGGCCCAGGCTGAGTTATGCTGACTTTGAGTGACCCACTGGTCTCTCTCCCTCAGTGCCATGTCCAGTGCCCTGATGCAACTGGGTGGGGGTGGCTTCGACTCTGCCGGGCCTGGGGAACCTCAGGGCTATCCCAACCAGGGCCCTGGGGTCCAATCCAGAGACAGGAGATCTGGGACCCTCTGGTGGGGTGGCTGGCATAGCCAGGACTAAGAAAAGGTGAACAAGCAGCTTGGGCCCTGGAGGGTGAGGGAGGCTGCAGCGCTCCTCCTACTGGCCGGTAGTGGAACTGCAGGGCGTGGCTCCACGCTTTTTCTGCCCCAGAGAAAAAAGATGGGTTGCATTTTCTCCTTAAAAAAACCCCTCTATTCCCCTCACTTCCCATTTCCTCCCTTTTTGTTTCTTGCTTTTTCCCACGGGGTCACTCACTAACTGTGCCTTTGCTTCAAACCTCCCGATGGTTTCCCCTTGCAAGCGTAGTTAGGATAACATCCCAGCTCCTGACCGCTAGAAGGTTCCCCAAGGGCCTGCCCACCTCTCCTTGCTCGCCTCCTATGCCCAATCACTTCTCCCTGCACTGGCAATAGCCCGAGTTCATTTCTCCCTCAAGGTGCTTCCAACTCCTCTTCCCTCTGCAGTAATGCTTTTCCCGGGGCTCCCTGCTGTCACTCCTCTCGAACATTCCCCTTGGAGAACTTGCAGATGAAAAGAGAATTCAAAGCCCTGTCAGCCAACCCGATACTCTCAGATCCGATTTGCATCCTGATCCAAATTGTTAGAAACCCCAAACACTGACTGCAAAACCAAAGGTGAGCGATTACCAGATATTGGATGATATTGAGAGATGATTATTAATAGTTTTAGATGTTGATAATGGTATTGTGATGACATTTTTTAAAAAAATAGCATCACTGAGATATGATTTCCATAAAATAAAATTAGCTCAGTGTGCCTGGATGGCTCAGTAGGTTAAGTATATGATCCTTGATTTTGGCTCAGGTCATGATCTCAGGGTGGTGAGACGGAGGTCCCTGTTGGGCTCCATGCTGGGTGTGGAGCCTGCTTAAGATTCTCTCTCTCTCCCTCTCCCTCCACCCCTCCCCTTGCTCACTCTTTCTCTTTCTCTTAAAAAAAAATTAGTTCACTTTGAATAAGAATTCTGTGAGTTTGCACAAATGTATACAGTTGTGAAACCATGTGGTTATATTGTTTAAAAAGTTCTTTGCTTTTAGAGATCTATGCTGAAGTATTTACAGATGAAGTAGTATAGGAAGAAAATATAATAAGAAGGATAAAGGAGGGAAAAAGCATAGTACAGGGAGGGGGGTGGGCACAGGTGGAGATGGAACAAAGCAGGCCACGAGCACTTGCCTGAGCCGAGTGATGGGTTACACCAGAGGTTCCTTAGAGAGTTCTCGATATTTTGCTGTGTTTAAATTCTCCATAATTCAAGTTTTTAAAAAGTTTTTCTCTCTTGAGAGACCCTTTCTGACCATGTTTGCTAATACACTGCCTCTCACCCCTGTCACCCCTGTTTGAAATTGTGTGATTCTGTCTCCCCAACTAGAATGTGAGCTCTGGCAAAGCAGGGGCTGCCTCCGACTTGTGCGCCCCAAAACATGGAACCGCCTGGCACATAGTAGGTGCTCAGTAAAGGGTTTTTTTTTGCATGCTTGTATGCACGAATGAATGAAGAATGAATGAATGAATTTTCCCACGCCCATTCATTCATCACCAATTATTGGCCATGTTCTACACCCCCAGCCCTGTGGGCAGCCATAGTTACAGAATGAAAGAGTCCCTAGTCCAAACCTTTTTGTCCAGATGGGGAAACTGAGGCCTGGGGAGGAGCAGATACTTGCCTGGAGTCTCACAGCTTGGTAGCCAGATAAGGCTAAGGAGCCCAGCTGAGGCTCTTCTCCTTCACCCCCGTGCCCCAGGGAAGGGGACTCTTGCTGGAGCTGCCTGGGCTATGGCCTTTGTGATCTCCTGCAGGCCTCCCAGTGGTTGCTGGAATGGAGAGCTCTCTGACAGGCTGCACTAAGCCTGAGCACCTCCACACAGTCACTCCTCTGCTGGAGAGCTGGGCGCTTTCCCAGGTGGCAGGCACGACTGTCTTCCTCAAGTGTGAGAATGTGCAGCCGTCTGGCTCCTTCAAGATCCGGGGCATTGGGCATTTCTGCCAGGAGGTAAGGTATTGGCAGGAGGGGAGGAGTGAGATGGTTCGGGAAGGAGGAGCGGGGAGATGGATGCTGGCTGGCTAGGGGTGAGGGCAGGAGGGGAGAAGTAAACTTGTAGTGGGGCTGGATGAGGGGCGAGGAGTGTTGGGGTGGGCTGGGAAGGGACTAACTCTATCCCACACAGGCTCTATGACATCTGCCTGGGTCGGTCCCCAACCCCATTCCTTCTCTTCCCAGGTGGCCAAGAAGGGATGCAGACACCTGGTGTGCTCCTCAGGTGACCCTCAGGGTGGGGTCCTCAGGGCTGCGTTGGGGGGAGGAAGAGCTGGCTGGAGCTGCAGTAAATGTCCAGGTTTCAACCCCCTCAAGATGACCACTTCATGTGTCTTCTTTTAGCCCTCTTCCCATATTCAGGACTCATATCCGAAGTGACAGAAGTCCATTCCATACATGTTTAAGATACAGGCCCCAAGAACTGAAAATTCTTGGGATAAGTGGCTTTCAGGTATAGCTGGATCCAGGAGCTCTCCTTTGTATCTCTCTTCCCTTGTCTTGTCTTTTTTCTATACTAGCTTCATTTTCACACAGACTTCATAGCAGCAAGATGGCCATCAGGAATTCTAGGCCTGCCTCCTATCATCCTGTCGGCTCTAGTGAACAGGAAGCAACCCCTTCTTATTGGTTTTCCTCAATCCATCATTTGGTCTTTTTCACCTAGCTTGGCTCATGTACTCATCCCTGAACCAATCATGGGTTAGGGGCTTGAGTTCTCTGATTGAGTCCATCTAGATCACATACCCACCTCTGGGACCAGAAAGAGAACTCAAAGTTGGGGCATACGAGTGCCGGGAAGGAGTGACCCACAAAGGGAAATGGAGGGGAAAGAAGATGGTGTGTTAACAGGCTAAAACAATGGCACCCCCTTCTGTTGCTTCCACAGGGGGCAACGCAGGCATTGCGGCTGCTTATGCTGCCCGGAAGCTGGGCATCCCTGCCACCATTGTGCTGCCTGAGGGCACCTCCCTGCAGGTGGTGAAGAGGCTGAAGGGGGAGGGGGCTAAGGTGCAGCTGACTGGAAAGGTAAGGACCCCAGGAAGGAGAAGCCAGCTGGGGTGGGCTCTTCCCTTGACCCCCACCTCAACCCTAGGGGAGGGTAGCTCCCTGCTTTTTTCTCTCCTTTTTTAATAAGCAATACCTGGAGCCCAGTCTTCTGGCTGAGCTGAGAGGTGGGAGCGAAGCATATTGTACATGGAAGCCTGGGACCTCCTGCCTCTACCTACCTTGAGAAGACTTCCCCTGCATGAACCCAGGAGAAACAGGAAGCTCAGGGACCAGGAGTGTGTTTGTCTCCTTATAGCCTCATTAACACTTGGTATTATTCATTTAAAAATGTTTGCCATTTGATGAGACAAAAAGTATAAAGAAAGGTGATGGTGGCATCATTTCTCATTCTGAGACCACCCCAATAATGAAAGGTGCCCATCACCAGGGATAGCGCTGATTCATCTTGTTGCCAAAGAAACAGAGATGCAAACATGTAATCCTTCTACCTTCCTAGAAAGAAGTAAAAAATTTCCCTGGAAAAGAGATTTTTTTTTTTAAACCATTAAAATTAAAACTAAAAGCTGGTCTGCAAATACGTAGTGTCCAGCTTCCTTCCTTGCTTTCTCCCTTCTTTCTTCTTTCTTCATCTATTCAACTGTCCTCCCATCCATTACCCCCTCTCCCTTCTCTCTTGCATTCATCTTTCCATCTATCTGTCCATCCATTCACCCATTTATCCACTCACCCATCCATCTATCCATCCATCCATCCATCCATCCATCCATCTGTCCAACATCCATCCATTCATCTATCCCCCAACACCTTTCTCCCTCCTTCCCTTCCTTCCTTCCTTCCTTCCTTCCTTCCAACTCGTACTATGTGTCTGTACTAGGTTAGAGCTAGGGATATAGAGATAGTAAGACATTGTCTCTATTCTCATGAAGCTCAGGTGTTGTTGGGGAGACACACAGATAACCAGATGGTGATAAGAGATTGCAGTAAGTGTTGTGATGGGAAGAACACGGCCCTGACGAAGAACAGAGAAAACATATTGCTTTAATCAGCTATTGCTGCTAGATTGTGCTGCATAACAAACAGCCCCCAGATAGCAGCGGCTTATGAGAAAACCCGGTCTCTCTTGCTCGTGGGCTTGTGAGTGGGCCAGGGTGGCTCTGTGCCAGGCTGCAGGCAGGATTAAGGTCTGCATACATGTCCCCCACATCCCTCTGGACTGGTGGCCACCTGGGACGTGTTCTTCTCCAGGTGAATGGCAGGAGGAGTGGGAGGAAAGACCCTTTTGAGGCTGTGGCTCAGAACGGCTACACTGACATTTCTACCACATGCCACTGGCCAAAGCAAGTCACATGGCTGGGACCTACATCAGTGTAGGTGAGGAAATGGACTCTGGCCCCTGGTGGGAAGAACAGCGGTCACCTGACAAAGGGCTTGGATGTGTGATTCTAATGGAGGGAGCGGGGAGAGAACTGGGCAGTGGTCCTGTGCCTCAGAACTGGGGAGGTGATCCAGGAAAGGCTCCCCAAGAAGGGTCCCCTGTGTTATCTTGAAAGGGAAATACAAGTCCTCCCGTTGGGGAGAGGGTCGTGGGCAGAGGAAGGAGCCTGGAAAGGCCTGGAATGGGAGTGAGCCTGGTGCATTCCACTTGCTGTGGCCTGGCCCCTGGGGGAAGGGGTGACAGGTGAGGCCGGAGAGGGGGACTGTCCCCTCGGCGGACAGGGTGGCTCATAGGTGAGGCTGGCATAGGGCAATGGGGAGCCACGGCCGGAGTCTGAGCAGGAGAGGGGCACGGTGGGCCCTCACTCTGGCTGCTCTCAGGCTGTGGACAGGAGGCAGAAAGCCGGTGGGTGGCACTAAGGGCTGCATAGTTCTGAGTCTCATGTTTGTTTCAATAACTCCAGAGAATGAGGCCCGTCTCTCATGAGGCCCAATCGATGGGCGATTACTTGTGGACAGAGACTATCTCTTTGTTCTCTCTGTGTCCCCCGGCACAGGCTGGGCCCAGCGTGGGTGTTGCTGGGGGCCAGAGGATGGGCGAAGGTGACCTCCGGCCCCCTTGTCACCCTCTGTCCCTTGGAGGAGGGGCTGTTATTTGTCACTTAGCTTCTGCTGGGATTGGCCAGGGCGGGGGCCCCTCCGAAGTCCTGTCTTAGTTTGGGTTCCCCAGAAGCAGACCCTGAGACAAGGGATGGGGTGCATGTAGTTTATTTGAGAGGTGATTACAGAGATTGTGGGGATGTAGAAATGGACAGGGAAGGGAAGAAAGCTCATAGTGGTGTGTCCGGGAGTCATCTCTGTGGGCAACTGGGGTTCAGTCCCCACTCGGGGCTCCCATGGAGGACACACACAGGGAGGGTCAGAGGGCCTGCCCCTTGGCACTGAAGTCTATCCTGCCCACTGCCCCGCAGAATCCCCTGGCCAGAAAATACCCTGCAAGTGACCTCTGTGCTGGGCTGAGGGGACGTGGACTTCTGCCATAGATGCCAAGCCCACGAGAAAAGTGCACCCACCTTTGATGTGGTCCGCGTAGGTCTGTCAAGACCCGGGCAGCCTCTGGCTGCTTGAACTCAACCGGCAGGTCATCCACTGAGCAATTGCTGGTTTTCATGGACACCATCTGTAGGGGCCAAGTGGCTATTTGGGGCCCTGATTTGAGGGGGCTTCTCACCTTTTGGCTGGTTAGAAGCAGAAAAACTGCTTAGCTGGCCTTGGAGTTCACCCTCCCCTACCACTGCAGGCCGGCCTGTTGGGATTGCGGAAAGCACGTGACATCTACTTACCCGACTGGAAGCCTCCGACTTTGACCGAGGAGGCTGCCGGGTCCACCCCAGCTCTGGTCTCGCCTTTGGGGTTCTCCCCAGCCCATCAGACCCTGGGGCCAGGCAGGAGACCTCAGGCTCTGCTCCAGCCTCCAGAGCGGTCTGATTCCTGGGGCTCCTGAGGCCCTCGCTTCTCTTTAGGTCTGGGACGAGGCCAGTCTGAAGGCGCAAGAGTTGGCCAAGAGGGATGGTTGGGTGGACGTCCCTCCGTTTGACCACCCCCTGATCTGGTAAGTTTGTTGCCCCTCCCCCATGGAGCTCAGGGCCCAGACCCTCCTTGAGTTGGGATCCTTCCATTGAACAGAAGGGGAAACTGAGGCCTAGAGAGGAGAAGAGGCTCAGAAGGCAGGCACACTGGGGTTCAGACCCTGCTTCTGCCACTTGAGAGTTGTGACTCTACAAAGTATCTCTCCTCCCCAGGCCTCAGTTTCCACATGTGTACAGTAGAAATGGCAATAGTCAATCCTACTTATTCAGTGTGCTTTGGGACGCATTTATCCATTTGTTCCTCCCCAGAGCTCTCGAGGTGGGAGTTGGATGTCCATTCCACAGGCACAGAGTGCTCAAGGAACTTGCCTGAGATCACACAGCTAGTAAATGGCCAAGACATTGGGTCCCAGGCCCAGAACTTGCTGGATGCCAATTGATAAGCTTGTCCCCTCTTAACACACACACTAACGCTGCTTCTTTCCAAGATCATGGAGGGGATTAAATGGGATAATGTCTGAGAACATGGCTGGGAGGTGGGGGGAGGGGAAAGAATGAGTGAATGAGTACATTGAATGGATGAACGCTGAGCGAGCTAAGGGTTGCAGGGTCTCTGCTCCCCTTGCTGTGGATGGGGATTGGGGTGGTGATGAGGAGAGTTTGTGTATACGTCAGCCTTTGGGAATGGGGGCCTTTCTCACCCTGCTTTCTCCTTCCCCCAGGGAAGGCCACGCCAGCCTGGTGCGAGAGCTAAAGGCAGCACTGGGAACCCCACCTGGGGCCCTGGTGCTGGCAGTAGGGGGTGGAGGGCTCCTGGCTGGGGTGTCAGCTGGCCTGATAGAAGTGGGCTGGCAGCATGTGCCCATCATCGCTGTGGAGACCCAAGGGGCCCACTGTTTCAATGCAGCCATCAAGGCAGGCAGGCTAGTCACACTGCCAGAGATCACCAGGTAGGCATGGGCTGGGGGCATGTATGGGGGCTGGGGGCATGCATGTATTGGGGGGCTGAGGGTGGGACTGTTGCTGTCTTACCAGTGGAGGTAGGGAGTACCCAAGAGACTCAAGTTCACCCTAGGACTCCAATCACAGTAATATCAGAAGGCAATGCTAAAAATGTAGATGAAAGATATGATTCATTTAAGTTTCAGTAATGCATAAAAAAGTTTCATTGGTCTGTATCATTACAAAGGCAGTTTAAGTGTTTTGCAGGTAAGTTAGAAAATGTAGGCAAGCCATAAGCAACAGAAAACAAAATGGCGCCTTCCAGTCCACCCTCCAAAGATGAACAATGGGTTACGTTTTCCCAATCTTTGTTTTCCCCTTATGCATGCATAGTTACATACAAGTGAAACGAGCCTGGCACATAGTAGGTGCTCAACAGATGTTTGTGAAGTGAATGAATGAATCGATCATATATTTTTAAGTTGGGATCGTATCCTTCCTAAACTCTATTTTTCTAGTTCATGTGATCTATCATGAAGATGGTTTCATTTTTTTTTCTGCAATATCATTAGAGAACTTTTTCCTTGTTACCTTATGTAACTGATTTTAATTCAACTGAGGAAAAGTTCTTATGAACCAACTAACTAATAGAGAGTGGCCAGCCTCCAGACCCTGCGTCTTCTTAACATCCTTCGTTGTCATCACCCCAACCATCCTCATGGATGCTGTGTTAGTTTCCTAAGGTTGCCATAAAGATGACCACAAACTAGTGGCTTAAAAGAACAGAAATGCATTCTTTCATAGCCCTGGAAGCTAAAAGTGTGGCATCAAGGAACTAGCAGGGCCACACTCCCTCGGAAGGCCCTAGGGCCTCCTTCAGCTTCTGCCTCTGTCTTCATATAACCTTCTCTGTGTGTCTGTCCTTTCCTTGGAAGGGCACCAGTCATTGAATTTAGGGTCCAGTTTAATCTAGCGTGATGTTATCTTCTAATTCCATCTGCAAAGAACCTAGTTCCAAATTAGATCATATTCTGAGGTTCTGTATGGTCGTGGATTTGGGGAGAGACACTATTCAACCCTCTACAGATACCAGCACTGCCCCTATTTTATTAAACACCCATTACGTGCTGGAACTTACCGTATCGTGGTGTACGACAGCAAGGTGGCTAAAATCAGAACAACCTGTTAAGTCATCTCTATTAAGCACCTATTGTATACAAGGTTCTGGCTGGCCAGTTAGAGAAACAGTCTTTGCTTCAAGGAGAATTCTGTCTGGACATACGAGTCTCCTTAATATCTTTCTGGTACCGTTTCCACTCCTCTCTGATGCCACTCACCCTCCCGTGTCTCTGTGCTGCCTTTCCCTGAAAATTATTTGTGCCTCTATCCTCGGAGCCTTTCCTGTCCCTAGCACCTGAAATACCAGTCCCTCCTACATTGATGAAATGCTCCAGAGCTCAGCTGCACGGTTGCTTCTCATATGCAAAGGTCCCAAAGACCTTCTGTGTCACTCCTCAGCTGTGAAAGAACTTGTGGATGGGCTGGTTTGGGCCCCTCGTTGGGAAGGAGGGTCTTGAGGATGGGGACTGGCTATTCAGCTCTGAGTCCCTCATACCTCCCTCAGAGCGCGGCACAGTGGAGCACTCAGGGAAGTTCGTGGATTTACCATTTTTGTAAAGGACACCGCTCTCCAGCCTGGGGCTCTGACTGGACCCACCTGACAGTCACCTTGCTGGGAATTCTGTCCACTCTCCCACTGGACTCCAGCTCCTTTCCAGCCCTTGTCCCCACCCCGGGGCAGCAGCGCTCCCCTGGATGGCTGTCACAGCCCTCCTCCATTCCCTGGCTCTGCTTGGAGCTTTACTGAGATAGACTTCATGTTTCATGTAATTCGTCCTCTTAGAGGGTAGAGTTCAGTGATTTTAAGTATATTCAGAGTTGTGCCTCCATCACCAAAATCCCTTTTAGAACATTTTCCTTTTTTTTTTTTTTTAAGATTTTAGTTATTCATTTGACAGAGAGAGACAGATCACAAGTAGGCAGAGAGGCAGGCAGAGAGAGAGGGGGAAGCAGGCTCCCCGTTGAGCAGAGATCCCCGATGCGGGGCTCGATCCCAGGACCCTGGGATCATGACCCGAGCCGAAGGCAGAGGCTTAACCCACTGAGCCACCCAGGCGCCCCCTTTTTAGAACATTTTCATCACCTGTCCCCAAGTCCCTCCTCCCCTCCAGCCCCTGGTGATTACTGCTCCACTGCCTGTCCCTAAGGACTCGCCTGTTGGGGACATTTCCATTTGGATGAAGTCATACGATACGTGGCCTTTTGTGTCCGGCTTCTCTCACTCAGCCTCATGTCTCTTGGCTTCATCTGTGTTGTCGTCCTCACTTCATTCCATTTTATGGCCAAATACTACTCCCCCGTGTGGCGGGACCCCACCTTGCCTATCCCTCCCTCAGCGGCTGCACTGTCTGGGTTTCAGGCTATGGGGAGTCGTGCTGCTGCTTGTAGGGACCTTTGCGTGTGGATGACATGTCCGTCTCTCTGGGCTGCGTCCCTACACGTGGTATTGCTGAGTGTCCTTGTTGCCCCGAGTCCTTTGTGTCCTGGCAGGTCAGGGCGTCCTTCCTCCGCTGCTGACCTACGGGACCCTTCAACCCCCCACCCCCTGCTTGCGTAAGGGGTGACTTTCCCAGGCTCTCAGGCCCAGATCTACACTCCCCTCGGCCCCACTCCAGCTGCTGGCCTGTCTTCCCGCCCCTTGGCTGGGTCACGTCTTTCCTGCCACCAACCTCTGCTCATGCTGCTTCCTCTGCCCAGAATGTTCCTGCCCCTCCCCTTCTCTCCTTTCGGCCGGGATCTCTCACCCCAGGGAGAGTGGCCCCACACCTCTGTTTCAGGGAGGGTGCCCTCCCGGTGGTCTCCCTCTGTTTATCTACTTAATTCTCTTTCCCCTCCCAGACTTTGTTCTTACGTATTTATTTATAATCGAGGTTTCTAGTCAACCTAAAACATCATACTCATCTTGGTCATTACCAGGTAGCGATCCGGGAAGCTCTGCATCCTGCTGTCTCACCAGCAGGAGTGGAGTCGCCAGCTGTCACCACACGAAGTGACGACTGTGTTATTGACTCTTTCCTGGGATGGACTTTCCATCCCTGTGGCTTATTAATTTTATAACTGGAAGTTTGTTCCTCTTCATCCTCTATTGGTTTCGCCCAGATCTGCCCCCCCCCCCCACCGCCGCCCCAGCCCTCTCCCTTCCAGTGACCACTAATGACGGGTCTGTAGTTGGGCCCGTGTCTCTCTGGCCATTGTTGTTGACTTTGCTCTTAGTAACCTCGCTGGTGATAGCTACCACCAGCCCTTCCGAAACCTTACTATGCATCAGGCTCTCTTCTACGCACTCGATCATTGGAACTCCACCCCCACGGCACTCTCGTGAACAAGGGACAGTCGTCACCTCCATTTTCAGACTTGGGAAGCTGACGATTGGGGAGGTGCAGTGACCTTCACGAGGTCTCCCTGCTAGCGCGGGGCTCAGGTTTGAAATTGGGCAGCCTGGCTCCTGACTTCTGGGCTCTGGGCCCCTCGGGGCTCAGGGCCAGTTCTGATGGGCTCCCCAAAGGCTCTGCCGGGCCTGAAACACTGCCCGGCTTGGGAAGGAACTGGCAGGTGGGCCATCCCAAGCATAGAGATAAACAGCATGGACACTGGAGCCAGACTGCCTGGATTTCAATCCACACTGCTACGTTCGGACTCGCTGTGTGTCCTTGAGCTACTTCCCTAACCTCCCTGAGCCTCTCAGTTTCCTCCCTTGGAAAATGGAGCACATACATTTCTAACTCCAAGGGGGGATTACGAGGATTAAGAGAGGAAACACATGCATCTATCACCTGGTAGATAGTCAATAAATATTGTTATCGTATAGACATGATAAGTAGCTATGAACGAATAAGACACAACCTAGTCCGTTTCCATGCTTGGGTTTCTGGGGTCTGTGCAAGGACAGCCACAATCGCGGTTACAGAGTTGGAGGGGGTGGTATGCCTTTTTTGATCCCTCATGGGGCGCCCAATTTTGGGGCCACTGCCTCTGTGCCAGTGCTGGGCTGGGCTTTTGTGAGGCTGAGCCCCTGGTCCGTTGCAGGACGGGAAGGGGGCCTGAGGCTTAGAGGGCTGGGTCTTTGAGGGCAGAGGCCCAAGGAGTCTCCAGCTCTGCCCCACACCCTGGCCCTCCCTGCTCCGCCTGCCCTCTCCCACAGCGTGGCCAAGAGCCTGGGTGCCAAGACCGTGGCTGCGAGGGCCCTGGCATGCACGCAGGAACTAGACATCATCTCCGAGGTGGTGGAGGACGGCCAGGCTGTGAGTGCTGTGCAGCAGTTCCTAGGTGAGTGAGACTTGCCCTCCCTCCCCAGGCTTGGGGACCTCCGAAGACCCTGGGTCTCTGGGTGTTCTGTCTTGTCTGTATGCTCAGTGCCTACCGCAGGGCTGGGTGTGCACCAGTTATGCGACAAGTGCATGCTGAACCTGTGGAAGGGTAGGGCCGGAGGCCATGGTGCTACCTCTAGCCTCCGGACATTTGTATGTGCTCTGCTTCCTCCTGGCCACGCCCCCCACCCCCACCCTGGGCCCTGTTCCCTGCCAATTTCACGTGACTTGGGGCTATTCAGTCAAAATGGCGCCTCCTCCAATCTTCCACTCTCATCCCACCTGGGCTGGAGACTCCCCATGGCCTCTGTTCATAGCTGCCTGGTTGTTATTCATCTACAGTGCTAGATGTAAGCCCCGTGGAGGTGAGGCCAGGCGTGTCCTCTTTACTGCGGTGACCCCAGGGCCTTCCTAGCATAGGGCCTGGCAGAGAGTGGGTGCTCCATAAATATTTGTCGAATGAATGGGTGAACGTATGAATGAATGGAAAGGTAGATAATGGGTGGATGGATGGATGGATGGATGGGTGTATGGACAGACACATTGATTAATGGACACATTGATGGATGGACAGACAGTCAAGTGATGGATAGGGGATGGATGGATGAATGCATGGATGGATGGATGGATGGATGGACACACTGATTGATGGATACACTAATGGATGGACAGACAGACAGTCAAATGATGGATAAGGGATGATGGATGAATGGATGGATAGATAGATGGATATGTTGATTGATGGATACACTGATGAATGGACAGACAGACAGCCAAATGATGGATAAAGGAATGGATGGATGGATAGATAGATGAAAGGTGGATGGATGGAGGGATGGGTGGTCAGATTGATGGATGAAGAGAGGGTCAGGCAGATGATGGATTGTGAGCTGGCTGGCTGGCTGGCTGGCAGGCTTCGTGGATTTGTGGTGCCCAGAGCCTACCGAGCACTAAATGCTTCTTCTTCCCTTTCTCTCTTCTCATGCACTCCATTCCCCTGCTCCGGGCAGATGACGAGCGCATGTTGGTGGAGCCTGCCTGCGGGGCCCCTCTGGCTGTCATCTACTCAGGCCTCCTGGGGAGGCTCCAGGCTGAGGGCCACCTGCGCCCATCCCTGGCCTCGGTCGTGGTCATTGTGTGTGGAGGCAACAACATTGATAGCGGAGCGTTGCAGGCTCTGAAAGCCCAGCTGGGTCAGAGCTGACGGCTCCTCATCCGGAATGGACACCCCATAGCTGGCTGAGGGGCCTCTGTGCTCATGGATGGCCATGGAAGCTGCTCCATGCTTCTGTGCCAGCTGCCTCCTGCAGGAAGCCCTCCTGAAATGCTTCCCTTGGCTCCCCCGCAGACCTAGTCAATAAACACTCTGACATGAAGTTGTGACTCCAGCTGGTCCCATCTTTCTGGCTCCGTGAGCTCACAGAAGGCCCCCAGCAACCTTGAGGCTGGCCCTGCGTGAAGGGACTCTCCATCACACAGCTGGGACCAGAAAGCCAAGGATTCAAACCTTGGAGCTCTGAGACAGTCCAGTCGTGCTGAACTCCTGGCAGGGCTTCCCTCACCTGGGGGACCTGCCCAGGAGGAGAGGGGGTCATTCTGCACAGCTATACTCAGACCCGGGTGGGCAAGGACAGTAACACCTGGCTTTCTCTAGAGCTTTGTATGTGCTGGAAACTTCTAAGACATTTCCACTCATCGCCTTCTTTAATGTTCACAAAGGCACCATGAAGCAGAAACCATTATATCATCCCTGTTCTAAAGATGGGGAAACTGAGGCACAGGACGGTGACCAAACCCACTCGATGTCCTGATGGGCATGTGGCCCAGCCAGGCTCAAACCCTGTGATTTTCAATATGGCTCTATTTCTTGGACCTCAGCCTTCTTTGTGCGCTGGCTGATGGTGATGGGACGCTGGGGTAGGAAGCAGGACTGACGGATGGGTTTGGACGCACCTGTGGGTTGCAACGAGGGTGGGTGCCGGTCCTGGAATTGGGAACCTCTTCCCCATGGGAAGAATCTCTTAGAAAACAGAGGGGAAATTTGAATCTTTTGGAGCCACCAGGGGGCAGCAAAGTGTCTCTGATGGGGAAGCCTGGATCAGGGCAGGGGAGGCCCAGACCGGCCCCTCCAGCCTCCCTTGGCTCTTTCTCTAGAGGGGGCCGGCCCTTACCCCGTCTGGGGGCATGCTGAGGTCCCAGAGATGGCTAGGACCCACGAGAGCTTGGCATTGGGGAGCCCTATCCAACCCTCACTGCCTTGCTGGAAACAAGGCTCAGAGCGTGGAGTCCACCAGGCATCACAGCCCCTGGTAGATAGTGAGGCCTTCCCCTGGGCCCCCCTTTCCTGCCTCCTGCAGGCTGTGTGTGTGTGTGGGCAAGTGCTCTCCCTTCTCTGGGCCTCAGGCTGCACCTCTGTGCTGGAGAGGGCCCACTTGTAGCTTCCCACCTCCTTTCCTCTCCCCAGGCTGTTGCCCCTGCCAGGCACCACCTCCCTCTCTCAAGAGGAGAACTTGAGGGCGTCAGTGACGTCCCTTTGCCTCTGTCCCCTTCTCTCCTGGACCCCAGACACTGCCCTCCATGCTCAGCTTTGTGCCTCCCGAAGCCACCGGGCCCAGCAGTATTTCCTTGGAATCTTATAGCGTGAGATCCCCAGAGTAGAGGGGGCGCAGAGAACCCCAGCAGAGGACTCAGCCAGAATCGAGCCTGACGCCGTTCCTCCTCACCACCTTGAGCAAGCGAAGCTCTGCTTCAGAGCCTCAGTGTTCTGATCTGTGAAATGGGTGGTTTGCGGGTTCTTGCTACGGACCTGGCATATGTCAATCAAGGTTGGTTCTTACTATGTCCTGAGCGCTTCTCCCCAGCCACAAGGGGTGGAGAAGAGCCAGAATGTATTCATGGCTTGAGTATCTGCCACGTGCAAATGGGCCTTAGCAGTCATTTCATTTAATCCCCTGCAATTACTCACGTGGTTGATACTGTAACGTTCATTTTTGCAAATGAGGAAACTGAGGCACAGAGCAGCTGAGAGCTTCCTCCAGTGAGTGGCAGAGCTCACCTCAGTCCCAGGTGTTCTGTCTCCCAGTCAGGCCTCTGCCCTCAGCCACACTCCTGGGAGACTCGTCAGCTGCTGTTTGCTCCCTTCCTCGTCTCGGTGGGCCGGAGATAAGAAGCCGAGGGGCCTGTTGACCCCATTCAGATAACACCCGCCAATAACCTTACTGTAGCCCTCCCTGGCTGACACCCCAGGAATGCCAAGGACAGGGTGGGGGCGCAGGGAGAGGGCAAGTACACAGGTGGTGGAAGCCGAGGCCGTGGATGCCATGCAAAGATGGCATGACCTGGTCTCGCAAGTCGGGGTGTGGGCACAGGGACCCTCACTTTCTGTCTCTGCCCTCTCAACCGCTCCGAGGGGCATCAGGAAGCCTAGCTGAGGGTCTTGGGAGCAGGAGCTTCTCTGTGTTTGTCCAGGGCTGTGCGGAGAGCTTGGCAGCCTGGGCCGCCAGGTGTGTGTACCTGTTTGGACACGCCCAGCCTCCCCCTCTCCCTGCTGGGGCCCCTGTCCTGGGTCGGAGGACCCCATGGGCTCCCTGTGGCTTTCCTCTGTCCCCTCACCGGGCTGATTCCAGCACCCTGCCTCCCGAGACCTCTCCTCCATCTAGTCCTTTATTCCAGCCTCAAGCCTGGGAATCCAGACAAGGTGGGATGTGAGGAGGGGGCCCAGGGTCATACCACGGCTGCTCTCCCTTTCCCAGCTTGGGCAGGACCCATACAAGGCAGGACATGGGGCTCCGTACCTGTGGAGTGGCAGGTTGTTGGGGACCCTCTCGTTGGGGACATAACAACTGAGGCTTCGTGTCCCTAGTCGTCTGTGTGTGGTTGTGTGTGCACCCGTGTGCTCATGATCCTGCATGCACACATGTTTGTGTCCACGTGTGTGCCTGTGGGAGAGTGCACACACTCGTGTATTTATGAGGGAATAGTGCCATTAAGTGAGGGTTATCTGATTTCCCTCCAAGTGTGTAATGCTTCCCATTTGTGCATTTGGGACTTAACATCTCATCACTCGCCCCATATCAAACTTAGGTGTCTGCAGAGAGGCAGGGAGGCAGGGAAGGAGCTAGACTTTTGGGAATGGTAGGGATTGGAGCAAACTGAGAGCTTCTGCTCTATGGAAAGGAGGCAGCCACTGACTGGTTGAGCGCAGTGTAACAGATATCCCGATTGTTTAGCTCAGAATCAAAGCAATTTGGGAAACACCATATACGCTCTTTCCCCACATATTCATATAAAGTCTCTGACAAGTCCTGCAAGAAAGTGACTGCTCTGAATTAGGAGGAGGAGCATGTCACCCCAGCCTGACCCAGTGTGAGGGTCCTATCTCCCTGGGCCACAGTGATTGGTTCAAGGGTGGGACCAGGGGCCACGCTGTTCAAATAGACTGTCAGGACTTCAAGAGGGAATTGGGAGACACCCATGGACTACTTATTTATGCAAGCCGGGGCCTTCTCCTTTATTCTTCAGCCCACAATTTCTGTCTCTTGCAACAGGAAGCACCCCGATTGATGGCCCACACAGTTCATACAGGTCTCCCGAATTGTATTCACTTGCTTTGAGCTGCCTAGGTTTGAGCCCAATCCGGGCTTGGCCCTCCGCAAAAATGAGGCCAACCTGGGCAGTTTGTTTTTCATTCTCTGCCTGTCTAGGAGTGCACTTTCCCTTCTTGGTCACAGGCACAAGGTTTCATGCCGCTTGCCTTACGGGGAGAAAAAAGCATAACCCAATGTGATATTAATGATTGGGGGGGGTAGAGTTTTATGAAGCTGGGAGGGTGTTTCAAATCAGTACGTAGGAGCCGCTTTTGGAAGTAGCTGGTGTGAGTGGAGGTTGGGGTGGGTGGAAGTCAGAGAAGACAGTTGCCTAATTTTCCATGCACCCTTGGGGCCTGGGGCCAGCATCGCTCTGACTCAGAGCCTCAAGCCCATCTTCCCTGGGAGGCCTGACAGGACTGTTAGCTGCCGGTGAGGAGGTGGATGAGGCTTAGAGAGGGTCAGCTATTCATGCCACAACACCAGGGGTGAGGGCCCAAGGCTCTTCGCGGTGGCCTGGTAGGGCTCTTTGCTCTCATGAGGGTGTAAAGCCCACTTATTCCTAATCTCCATGTCCAGCCCCTCCAGAGTTTTCTGGGGGGCAGTCTGGCCTCTTGGCGGCCCACGCAGAGGGGTACAGAGGATCCATCCCAGCCCTGCACACCCAGTTCCATGATTTTGTGTTGATGCTTTGTTTCAGAATGAACTAATGCATGTGAGTATATCAGGATTACGTTTAGCTTTGTAATCCAGAAAAGACAAAATAAGTGGCTTAAGCCAAAATAGAGGTTTATTTCTCTTTCACTTAAAAGCCTGTAGTTAGGTTGCCTAGGGCTGTTGTAGTGGTGTCTCATTGATACCAAAGACCCAAGCTCCTTTGCTTTTGGTTGCTCAGCTGTGAATTAATTCCATTCCCAAGGTCACCTCATAGTCCCATATGGGTGCTGAGGGGCCAGCCATTATATCCTCATTCCAGGCAGCAGGAAGGAGGAAAGGATGAAGAAAGACACATTTCTTCTTTTTAAGGACACTCCCTATAATTAATACATGCTATTTCCACTCATAGCTCATTGGCCAGAACTTAGTCACATGCCATAGTTAGCTGCAAGGGAGGCTGGGAAATGTAGTCTTTATAACAGGCAGCCAAACGCCCAGCTAAAACCAGAGGTTCTTCAACAGGAAAAGAAGAATAAATGAAGTCTTCGACATACAGAATAAATGCGTAAGCATACAGATTAAGTTGCTATAATGAAAAGACCCCCAAACTGGAACACTAGTTCCAAAAAGGTAGGCAGTTCTGTTCCACTGGGTTTTACAGGGACCCAGGTTCGTTCTATCTCATTGTTCCGCCATCCCCCAAAATACCGTCCTCATCCGCATGGTCTAAATTGGTCCATAATCACTAAGGCTGCAGTGGGGGAAGAAGAAAGTAGAGGGCAAGAAGTTTTCTGTCTAAGGGCATCACCTGGATGTGGCACACTTTGCATCCGCTCACAGCCCACTGGCCAAAACTGAATCACATGGCACACCTTGCTGCAAAGGAGTATGGGAAATGTAGTCTGTAGCCCAGGAGGCCCTCAGCCTACTGAAGCTCAGGGTTTGGTTTCTAAAAGAGGAGAATTGGGACCAAAGGGCAATTAGCAGTCTTCACTAGCAATTGAGCAGCTGGGATGAGGGGTTGGGAAGGACCCTGGCTAGACTGAAGTCTGTCTGCCCTGGAGTTAGAGCTCAGATGCCAAACTCCAGACTCACCTCTGCTTGGCTGGGTGATGCTGGGCAAGACCCTGGAG